GGTTTCCTTGTCAGGGAGCGGAGGGGACCAATGCTCTTCGGTGCAGATGGCCCAAGGGTCTCCTCTATGCCTTTCCACTGCTTTCCATCATTCCAGCAGTAATTCGGAAGATGTAGGAACGTGCGGAGCTCCTCCTCCTGGCACCCTATTGGCCAAGGAGGCCCTGGTTTGCGGACCTGGTCAACCTATTGGTGGCTTCTCCTTGGAGGATCCCTGCCCATCTAATCTTCCTTCACCAGTGGGCCCTGCTCCACCCAGAACCCCAGTGGTTCAAGCTGACCGTGTGGCACTTGAGCGGCAGCGGCTAGAGGAGGCTATCTTCCAGAAAGGGTCATCCTCACTATCCTGGCTTCTCGCAAACCTTCTACAAGGCGCATCTATGATGCCACCTGGAAGGCTTTTTCCCGATGGTGCCTCAGGGAGGGTCTTTCTCCTGCTTCAGCCCAGTTGGCAGAAGTTCTTAGCTTCCTTCAGCATGGTCTGGAGAAAGGTTTGGCCCCCAACACCTTACGCAGGCAGGTTGCGGCCCTCTCCTCAGTCCTTTCATGGGGTTCGCTTCCTTCCTTATCCCATCACCCTTCAGTCAGGAGGTTTTTGAAAGGGGCTTCCAACCTGTACCCACCAGTGGTTCACAGGTAAACTTCCTGGGACCTTCATATGGTCCTTAATGCCCTTACGAAGCCCCCCTTTGAACTCCTTAGAACAGTGTCTCTCCGTTTCCTGACTCTGAAGGTAGTGTTCCTCGTTTCCATCACTTCTGCCAGGAGGGTTTCTGAGCTTGCTGCTCTTTCCATCAGACAGGACCTTTGTTCCTTTCACAATGATAGGGTTGTTCTCCGTCTGGACCCCTCATTTATTCCGAAGGTTAACACCAGGTTTCACAGGTCCCAGGACATTGTGTTGCCTGACTTCTGTCCCCTCCCTCACCATGACTTAGAGCGGCAGTGGCACACACTAGATGTAAGAAGGGCTCTTAGAATATACATTAAGTGCACTTCCTCCTTCAGGAAGTCGGAAGCCATGTTTGTTTCCTTTTTCCCTTCTCACTTGGGGCACAAGGCATCTTCTCTTACTATTAGCAGGTGGGTCAGGTCTTGCATTGAGCAGGCCTACAAAGCTGCGGCCCTTCCGGTTCCGTGAGCTCTGACGGCACACTCTCCCAGAAGTGTGGCCACTTCTGCTGCCTGGGCGACCCAAGCATCCTTGGAGGAGATTTGTTGTGCGGCCACGTGGACATCCCCGTCTCCTTTCATCAGACACTACCGTCTGGATGCTTTTGCCTCAGCGACTGCAGCCTTCGGCAGACGGGAGCTTCAATGAGTGGTTCCACAGTCGGTGTGATGAGCCAGACGAGGACCCACCCGTGGACATGCAAGCTTTGGTATGTCCCATCCTGGGCTCTCAATGCAGCATGGAAGAGAATGGGCATTGGGAGAAGTTACCATGAATGCCCTTTCTATCTATGCTGTGAGAGAGCCCAGCCCCTCCCTTGATTCGTCCAGAGAGGGTAAGACATATTTCTGTATTTATTTTGGGCTTTCAGAGACACCTTTCAGTCTGTCAAGTATCTTTGCCAAAGCTGGGGTCTCTCCCAGGGGCTGGCTTTTATATCTTAGTACAGACTCAGCTATGACATCATAGGAAGGAGTCAACCCATCCTGGGCTCTCTCGCAGCATAGATAGAAAGGGCGTTCATGGTAACTTCTACCAACACCCATTTCATTCCCCCAGCCTGGTGGAGGAGTTCACTTCTATGCATGGAGAGGAGAGGAACTCCTGCATTGAACTGGAGAAACAAAATGGGGATCCTGAAGATTCAAGCTCCGTTCCTGCATCCCACCACAAGAACCCCCTTCTGGGCATGGAGGGAAGCTGCCTGCCCTCCTTTGGTAGGCAGATGTTTCACTCTGTCCACTTAACTATTGTAATTGGGAGACGTGGGCTCTGTCCGCTTTGTCCAAACCCAACATTCCAGTCCCAATTGTAATCACAAGTGGAGGGCTACCTGTAATTCTTTATTCCATTTATCTCTTAATTTTTGCATATCAAATTGATTTATCAGTAGCAAATATCTATAAAAATGATTAGTCAATTTTTCAGTTTTAAAAGATTTAACTAGTTGTTTTAGTATCTTGGGTGTCAGAAGCTGAAAATGCTGCTGGCCCAAATAGTGTTGTTAACAATTGTTTGCAATTCTCAGGGAATACACATACATTTTGTATTGGGGATTGCACACAATAATTGACAAACAGGCCCAGATAGATTCATTGGATTGCATACCAGACCCCATGAATAAATGGTATTGCTTGAAAAACTAATTACTTTCCCTTGTTGGTTTTAGCAGTTGGTCAGCTCTCAAACAACACTTAGACTGCTTAGGAAAACAGGCATGAGACAAAACCAAGTTCTGCACAATCCTAAATGTTTCAATAACAGAGTAAATTCAATGGGTTTACTCCATAGTGAATGAGTTTGGAACTGTAATCACTTACAAAATTCATTATTTTTGTTGCATGCTATTTTTTCCTGTAGTATTTTTAAAATTCATTTTCTGAGATAATAAAACCTTATCTAGCATTTCTCTTATTTTTAAAAAAAGGCACTAACATCAAGTCAAGGTCAACAATAAGAGCTATGCTACAGGAAGACATCAAGGGAAAGTGCCGTGGTATATCGAATTTATACATTAATGGGTATGAATAGCAAGAGCTGGCTTAATTACACATTTTAAAATGGATGTTAACCACATCTATATTTAGTCTGTCCTTTAGCATATGCAATCCTATGAAACATTACATCGAAATACAAAACATGAGAATTTGCCTAATTTTTTCACCTTAATGTTTGTAGAAAACCAAAGGCCAATTGAACAGATGGACATTTTCCTATAAGACCAGTTGTGGCTCAAGGCAAATTCCCCAGACCTGATCAGGCTGACAATGGCAAAGCTAATGCAAATCAAGGATCCAATATGCCATCAGGAATTCAAGAAAAAAAAATGACATCAGCAAATGGCTCAAGAAGGCAAAAATAGTGAGGCAGGACAGTGTATGAGTAGGAGAAACCTACATAAGCATTACATTTACACTATTGATCTTACTTTACTGTGGAGGCACAGCATAACTGACTTCACTCACTTGTGAATCCATAAGAAAAACAAAGAGAAAATAAACTGCACGCTGGGAGATATATCATCCCTACAGTCTTAAACAGCAGACTTTACAAAACGATAGCATAATTACTCCCCTTTGGTCCAGTAATTAACTTCCAATTCCATTGTCAGGAGGATACCTACATTCTGTTCTCCATACATTCATTCTACTTTCATTTTAATGTGCCTTCAGCAACTCTTCAGACCTGTTTTCCTTCCTCTAATCATACAGCCTTGACATAATCTAAACAAAAACTTCATTAGTATAGTCTTAACCTTTATTTCCAACAGCAGATTCAAGCCTTAGAAGTATATGCATAATATCTTAACCAAAAATATGCTTGCAGCAGTTTGATGACGCATGATTTACACTGTAGACTTACCATACATATTTATATAGCATGTATTGTGCCTTCCTTCTCTGCTGTGCTGCCTGCTCTACTGAACAGCCTCTGCCCTGAAATTTAAATGATTCCAACTTTGTTGGACTCTCAAAGGCTGTTAAACTGGTTTTTCTCCTAGGTATTAGGACCAGCAAGTTGGTTTTCTGTTTGTTTGTTTTTTATTTTTGTATTGGCTTATTTCCATAGGTTATGGAGGATTTAATCCTGTTTTCCTATGGATTGTTTGCTGCCCAGAGTAATGTATTTAAGATGGGCAACTATATATTGTTATTTATTTGCAATTATGTATAAATTATTCTGGCTAATCCCACACAAACATTTCCCTAATTTGCTTTTAACAGGATAATATACATTCATATTTTCCCTACTCCAGCTTTTCTGGGCTCACAATGAGTTCACTCTATAAACTGCATTGTCATGTGGTCACTAGTGCAATTTGCAGTGAATGCAAGCTTTCTCATTTCCACATCCTAATTATTCAAATAAAATCAAAGCTGAACATGCATCTATTACACGATGATGAATTCAGTTATTAATTTAAAATCAAATCATATCCACTAAAACTAAGCTTAACCCCCCACCCCCAAAACCAACTCTATTTAAATCTGTAATTTATAAGGCTATGTACATTTTATCACTATATCTCAAAAAGTATATACTAGAGCAAGAAAAGCTGAGAAAATCAACCAAAATGTTCAATGAACTATTGATTTCCTATGAGGAAATGCAAGTATTTGGGACTACTTAGAACAAGAAAATAAGCGTCTCGATTTTTAAGAAAATAAACAAATGTGATAGACATATTTAAAATTATGCATGGTGTGTGGAAAGCGGAGAAAGAAATCTGTATAGCTCTAATAATATAAACCATAATTTTTCAATGAAATCAAATGAAATAAGATTGAAGACAAACACAGCACATATTTAAAACTGTACAATCACTATAAGAATATACCAATTAACTTGGATAGCTTTTGTGGAGGATCATGAGCAGCATAATTAATTTGCTTCAAAATGACCACCGAGCTCTGAAAGTTGTTAGCTCTTAACCCTTTATCTTCAATTTGTAACTATGTACCATGTACCATCCAATTTTTTCCTTTATCAATGAGTTATTATTACAAAATTGCTCTGCTACGTTTCCAAACATTTGGGAAAGTTTCCCAGGCTATGATCTTGAAGAATCTCTATTTAATGCTCCCCATATGTTTTAGTCTACAGTCCCATTATCTAAATGGCTAATAGTCAGTTCAAAACAGCAGGAGGGCTTACATTGGAAAAACTTAAATTCTTATAGTACATTATTTATAAACACAACAGTGAGAAATAAGTTACCATAGTGAAGAACTGGACTGAAAGAAAAAGTATTTGTGTATATAACACTGCTATTCTTGGTTTACAGATAATTCTGACTGTTCTGACCCATTTTTAAAAGTATGGCATACCCCTTCTTGTCTAGTGAAGAGTTTGATACAGTTACTTAAGACTTCACAAGCCTCTCTTGCTGTTTTAGAGATTTCTTCCGCTCTTTTGAGAAACAAAGTAGGTAGTCCTAAAAAAAAGAAGCATAGGTATTAGATTATGTTTTCAGACTGCTGTTGCTTTTGTATTCCATATAAAATAGTACTTACACATCTTATATAGGCAGAAGCTAGCAATGTATTCTACTACCCCACTCTGAGAATTATACAGAATATGCTTGAAAAGGAGAAGTTTGGCAGACAAAATAGAAGTGATTTATGTTTATCAACAAACAACGTTGCCAACTGGATTTAAGATTAAGATTTCAGATAATCTGTGTAGTTGCTTATTGATTACAAAGGTTACCTTGGGGATTATCAGATTGAGTAATCATAGATTGGAAGCTGGATATTTCTTTATCTAGTCGTTGGTGGCAAGACTGTGCAATCTGCAGAGGGAAGAAAAAAGTATTTATCATAGTACATAAAAGCTTCACATAATCATTACCAGAAGAGTACTACATTCCTCTGTTTGCAACAGAATACCCTACAGCACCAGATTTGAGATTCCAGGCTTAGACAACCTTGAACGATGCCGACTAAAATTAGACTTAAGCATAGTACATAAAATCATGTTACAACATCTTACCAGTTAACGAATATTTCAGCTTTAACAACAAGAGCACACAACAGATATAAACTAAATGTAAACCACTCCAAACTTGATTGCAGGAAGTATGATTTCAGCAAGAGTGGTCAATGTCTGGAATTTACTACCTGATTCTGTTGTCACCTGCTCAAACCTCTACTCCTTTACCCTCAAACTAATCTCTGTTGACCTCACCCCATTCCTAAGAGTCTGTAAGGGGTGTGCATAACCGCACAATCGTGCCTACCGTCCCAGTCCTATTGTCACCAATTATTAGTTCCTATTTCCTGTATTTAAACTTATGTTTATTCTTGTTTCTGTTATATTGTAAGCTTTTGACAAACAAACAAATAAATAAATAATAAAGATACCATATTGGAATTGCATGATTCCAGATGACCACTAAATGGCAGTAAAGTGATACTGAAAACTAATTCTTTTCAGGGAGTAAAAATTATACATGCTCTTAATTTCTGAACAAAGTATCCTTATTCATTAAAAAAATGTCTACTACAAGATAGTCTTCAACTTACAACCAGTGACTTAGCAACCCATTTGAAGATAAAACAGAGCCAAAATAGTTACCCATGCTCTGGATTTGAAGTTCCAATGGCAGGGCCACCTTATTCTGGGTCACATGATTCTATTTTGGGTGCTTGGCAGTCGGCCTGCTTTTACGGATGGTTTCAGTGTCCCACAATCAAACAATCACAATTTACCATGGTTTTTTTTTGCCTAAAATAACTGTTTACTTTGCCGGTTTTTGGCCAAACAAAAAACAAACACCCATTGCAGGCAATGTGTTCATTTAACAACCATGGCTTTGCTTAATGATTAAGGATTTGCTTAATGGCCATGGTGATTTGTTTAATGATCACCATAAAAAATATCATAAAATCAGGTCAGTGATGATCTGCTTAACAAATGGTATGATTTGCATTGTAATTCCAGGCTCAATTGT